GACAGGTTCATTATTTTATGCTCATGAGAATTCATAGATTCTGCCGTTTGATAGTCGTAAACCGATAAGAAGGCAGCAATTCGCCCCATCATCTATGGCAATTCCAATATAAAAGGCATGGCAAAGGGGACTGCATAAGCTCACCATCTGTAAAATGAAAGTAACGGTGACGAGGATCTTGAGAATCACTCCAAAACGCATCTCAAAGTACTACAACTGGGAGATTAGATGAAGAGAATTTTCAAGAAACCTGGTTGATGCTAAATAACTTCAATTTGTAAAGGACTGGCATGTAGATCTCTGACACCAAGGGAAACAACACCACTTGAGCGAGGATGTTAGACATCAGCGGGAGGCCGTATAAATAGATTTCTAAATGATTTCCCAACAAAGTTGCCGCCGAAAAGAAGCTCGCCGCTGTACTGGCCATAATTGGCAAGACGCCTAGTTGACGGTTGGCCAGAAAAATCTCCTGTGGTGTCTGCGGCTTTATCTCTTTGACCGGACGTCCCAGGCAGCGATTAAAGAGATTGTTAATCTGCGTCGACCATCGGAAGTAGAGACCGACTAGGGCGTAAGCGAAAAGGGAAAGCGAGAATATGAAGTAATCAGACCAGTGAAGTGTCACCGCCATTTTAAATTCCAAGCGGAATGTATTTCGAGTTATTTTTGAATGCGTTTATATGTGAGCCGGTTTTACTAGTATTGGACACTGAGGTGCAATACCAGATAGCACGTGATTGGATGTATTGCGCAATGAGTGTGCGATAACACTATTCTTCCACGTTTGCTCCACTGTGCATCACTTGCGTTGGCGTACCAAAGGAAACAAAATATCTCAATTGACAGGTAGAGGACACCGCGTTTGCTTACGTTCACAAAATCAAATTAATGAAATTTTTTATATGAGTGCCTTTTTAGACAAAATTTTTGGAAAAACTTTTGCTCTTATTAGTTCTAAACGAAACCCTGTCTAGATGGGCTTATGTGAGTGAGGTTTCAATGATGATCGAAATTACATATCATCATTAAACTTTACATAATGGCTGCACTGTCAGTTTTGAAAAGCATAAATTTAGCCAACTGCGTAAACCGCACTCATTAAACTGATATAACTTCAGTGTATTTGCGTTGTCTATTTAATCGTAAACATACTTTGTATAAGTAATTTCAAAAATATTCCCTACATATTTCAATAGGAATTGCGTATTTTTTATTCCGCCTCAATAAAAGGAAAACACTTTTGACTTCAGGATGACTCCATTTATATTACAATATGGAAAGGAGCGTTCGTAGAAAGTTAGTACTTTTTTTGAACATTTACTCGTGTTGCTCGTGAATTTGAAATAAGGTTCAAAACTGCCACTGTGGACGCGAAGTACTGAACGCGCGGCGGAAATGAGGAAGGTGGAGTCCAGTTGTCATGTCACGACTCTTTCGAAAACACCCGGCCACACCTCAAGGTTTTAAAAGGCCAAAATCTTCGCAAGAGCGGTCAGTCGCGTGAGCTGTGAGCTGCTTGAATCACGAATGCATGGGTCGCTATTTTTAGTAGGCTTGTTGATGCGTAATGACTGCATCCTATAAATGCTTTACTCCCTGTGCCATCATCGCCCTAATTAGCCACTGTCTCTTTTGAATGTCTTAATCAGGAATGTAAAGTGTCAGGCCAATAAACACCCCGTTCTAATGATCGCTTCTCTTTCTTATAATTAATTCTCCCTCCGAAGAAGCCGATGTTTTACTAATTGTTATAACGCTTGGTGGGGAAGCTCGCTCTTAGATCTCTCCTATTGACTATGAAAGAACCGCGTATATGAAACGTATCCGGCAATAATATCTTCAAGGCTGATGAACCCATGCTGTACATGAAAGGACTTCAGTCATGGTCTTTATTATAGGATGCAGTACCAGCATATTTAAGGTTGTCTAAAAGATATTCCGGTTTTTTAATTTAATCTTTTATGTCCATTTAACTTGTTGAGTTGCTGTCCCATATTATTCGAAAATATCCATTGTTTTCCAAAGATACTGGCTTGAATAAATAGGCGCCATATTCAGAGATTCAAATATCTTCGATACCTGCTTCATTTCTCCCTAAATCGATGTCCTTTAAGAGTCATAGCTGCTCCTGATGTGACGGTACTAGTTCTCATCGCTTATGGCTATGCGAGAAAAAAAATTTTGTTTACGCCAACGACTGGCATTGTGACGCATGTGCAGATCAAAACTATTGTCAGGTGTCAATGCTTGCTGCACGTGGCACCCACGCTCAAAGCTCATGAAAATTTTCCTTTGACTCCAAGTGTGTGAAGATAATTCATTTTGACCCAACTGTGGAAAACTCGTCACTTCGGTTGGATTCGAACTCAAGACAGCAAGGGGAGGCCTTATTTCAGCCAACGCTCTAGCCACCTGAGCTACGAGGTGACTAGAGCGTTGGCTGTAGTAAAGCCCTCCCCTTGTTGTCGTGTGCTCGAATTCCACAGAGGCGCCGAGTTTGTTAGAGATGTGTCAAAATGAGTTGTTCGAAATCTACCAACAGATCTTTCAGGGTATAGGGGTAGCCTACGGGCGCTAATGCAATTATTTCGGCAATGTGTCCTCGGGGTTTTGAAGGGGCTCCCTTTAAACGTTCATCTAAATGGCACTAATCTAACATATCGTTCATGAGTGATCTCATGAAATGCTGGCCGAAATTCTGAAATGCATGTTCGATTTGGAAGGATTACTTAGGTGGAGTTGTAATACTGGTCAGCATGCATCACGATCCTATAGTATTTCGTACTCGCCAGGTTGTCGCTTTTAAATGCATTTCTTTTCGATCTCCTGAAGAATCCACACTCGGTAACAAACGGCTATTGAGGTAGCATGCATTTTTCACATTGATTATAAATCCAAATATATTTTATAGAAAACATGCTTAAAATATGCTTTCTTCTACTCTTTAGGTAGAAAATCATATTGTCTTAATATCTTATACCCGAAAACAGTTAACTTCACAAGCCACACTGGTAAATGCAGAGACATTAAGTTTTGCCAACGGCCATTTCACGGTATTAAGAAATCATACTATTAGACACTTTTTCAGAACTGAATTACACTCTTCCTTCGAGCATAAAATTGGAAGAAGGCGTAATTTCCTACAGAATGAGCAAAGGAATGAATATTTTTGCTTATGTTTTCCATGAAATATAATTGCATTTTTAAGGGCATCGAAAATAAATAAGAAAAGTGAATGCCACATAAACAGTCATTTTTCACAGAGTATACTTTTCGGATGCCGATAGAAAGGATTTCGTTCGAAAGTCGACATCCTGAGGTAACTGAAATATTATAGAATTATGCTACAGGGTGATTAGTTTTGCAACTCTGCTTAATTTATCTTTTCGAAACGAAAACGTGTTTCGGAATTTCGTTTGACCTTTCATGAGTTAGCCCACCTACACTATGTGTTTACCACTTTTGTATATAGGTCTCATGCGGTGTGTGGAACGCCTACTTAGCTCGTGAGAACGACTCCTGTCTTGCAAACCGGAATTTCTTTAGATTCAAGTGCAGTCTACGTTTTTAAGTACTGCACGCGAAGTCTGAATTCGCGCGACCGCTGCTCCGAAGTGTCGTGAATTACAACTTCACTATCCGATATGTTCACGCAAACGACCTCAGAGAAACCAATCATTGATTTTTCACTCCACCTAAACTGGGTTACGCGAGACGCGAAAACATTTTTTGAGAAAGCATAGGCGCATCCTGCCTCATAAACTCTGATTTTTTTTTTATAGCGAAGGGGTTTTCTCGTATAAAAACACCAGTGAGTTCATTTGGTAAGATTTTGTTTTGTCACAGTCGTGATGCGCAGTCAAAAACACATTTTCTGTTTATGAGTGGAAGTTGGCATAGCATGTGTCTCCAAAAATTATTGATGTATTCCTGGCACAAACGCTTGTTTGAGGATTAGTCCCAACCAAATTCACAACTAATAGTGAAAGTATTGCCGCGTGAGTCGTTTCTGAAGTGTTTGAGCATACAGTGGTTAAGCGGTAATGCGCGCGTAATTGCAGAATGTGACTTATGGACAAGCATATGCAGGTGACAAACGCGGTCATTAGCTTAGTATCTGACAAGATATTTTAATTGGTACAAAAACAGTACTCATCACATTCATGTAGGGGATGGATAACTTTACAAAGTTCCCTTTCCTGCTAACTTTAAGAAAATGCTATAAATGAGGGCAGAACATTGCAATTGAGGCTGTGAGAGGTATTTTAAGAAGAAATATTAGTTGCGGATACATTTTTTTAAATAATAAGATTATCTTTACTGAACCCTAGTGTTGAAAATGCAGTTCAGTCGGTAAAGGAGTTTTGATCGGTGTGCACCCGTTCCTGAGTGGATAAATACCCGATCTGCAGCGTCCGAATGAGAGATGGCGAGGCTCTGATGAACTTCGGTTCGATGAAGTGCTTATGACCCCTCTGGTAGACCCCAGTGGTGGACCAACTGCCCCAGGCGCGAATGTGCGCACGCTTGTGTTTCTGGTCTCGGCTACTGGTCAGGGTTATGATTGGCTTAAACGCAGGCAAGTCCACTTGGAGTTGGCGTTTTACACAAGCCGAAAGCAATCATCAGACGCCAAGTCATGTGGCCGAAAGACTCTCTGCCACGGTAGGAAACGTCAGGAGTCGTTTATCGGATCTGTTGCAGTTGCGGACAAAGCAGGTACGTCGGAGAAACTGGGAGATTACTCCGTACGCTAACTGCTGGGCACGCAGCCGCAGTGAAGCGGGGAGATGCTGGCTCTCAGGCGGCGGCACACTCGACGGGACCCGGACATATCTTCAAGTTTCAGGGGACCAAAATCCTCGCAAGGTGTGACAACCGCGTGAGTCGCGAGCTGCTCGAGTTATGGTTCTCAGGCCCGCAATACATCGACAAGCGCAATGACCTCCCGTTACCGTTTTCCGTGCTGGAAGTTTCCATGGACAGGGGAATCAGTCAGGAGGGGAGGGCGCGGGACTGCAATTATCCTGCTGACAATGAGCAAATCTGCCGAACACTCGTCACACCAGCATTCAACATGGATGACGAAAACGCGGCAAATAGCGACTAGGACGCAAACTGACAAGCCACCATCGCATCAATTACGAGCCCAGCGATGATAGAAAAAGCTGTTTATTACAGTACGCCTATGGTGCCACGGCAGCCACGTGCTATAAATACTACACTACTTGTGCCACCATTACCTTTATCTGAGACTGTCTCTGATGGTGGATTCGATTGAGAATCCGAAACGTCCGGCCAATAAATTTCCCGTTCCCGTGATCGCGTTTTCATCTTCTGAAG